CGGCTGGAAGCTTTTCAGCACCTCTCACGGCCTCGAGAGAGGGGACGTGTGCCTCTTCCATCTCCACAACGCGAAGTCTCTGGCTTTCAAAGTTTACATTTTCAAGAGGCAGCGGAGGGGAAGCAAGCGTAAGCATCAGCACCAGCACCAGCAGCGTCGCCGCATCGGTTTCAGCACAGCAGACGTGATTCCAGACTCGGAGGAAGAGGAAGGCTACGAACAAGAAGAAGACGATGGAGCCAGCTTCGAGGAGCTGGAAGACATCACAGGTACGACGGAGATCAAGCTCTCGGTGAGCCAGGCAAAGTCCGCTCACGCTCCGGAGGCGATGAGCTTGACGCTAAGTTTGAGCCCCGACAAGATGGAGCGCATCCAGAGGCTCGTCCTCGCATCGTCCAGCGCCACACTGCTCGAGAGCTTCGACACAGTCCTTGGGAACGCAAAGACTCTGGCTATGGTGATGCGAGAAGCTCTTCGATAAGAGATGTCCTTCCTGTGAAAACTTCTATTCTCTGCGATATGCCTGCTTCTACGTATCAGTCCTTGGGAACGCGCATCGATGAGTGGTCGACAAAGGCTGTGAAAACTTCTATTCTCTGCGACTAAAGTTCTATGGGAACTCAAAGACTGCGGCTATGGTGATGAGATAAGCCCCCAAGTTCTATAAATTATGTGAAAACTTCTATAAGTTCTATGGTCTCGTTTTGCGCTTTAGGGCGTATATTTTCGTGCTATGTTGCATGGAGGGGAGCGCGGCGGCTACCTGGCGGCGGAGATGGATCTTCTCGGCGGCCAGGTGAGATCGCCCGGGAATCACCACCACCACCACGGCCTGGGCGGCGCGGTGGAGGAGATTGATCTGGAAATGGGGGCCGCGGCGGGGGTTGTGGACGATGCGAGCTTCGCGCGGGCGGCATTTGCGGTGGTGTCCTCGTCGCCCGAGGCGTCTGCGAATCAGCAGGCGATGCATCACGTCCTGGATGGATCGCCGTCGTCGCAGGAGCTATCGGCGCAGCTCTTGTCGTCGGACAAGCCCCGGAAGAAGAAGAAGGTCGTCAAGAAATGGAGGGACGAGTGGGCCGACACGTATAAGTGGGCTTGCGTGCAAATGGTGGAAGGCTCGTCCAGGATTTTTTGCTCGGTGTGTAAGGAGTATGGACGCAAGCACAGGAGGAATCCTTATGGCAACGAAGGTAGTCGCAACATGCAAATGAGCGCTCTCGAGGTAAGATCATCGTTGTTCTTTCGCTCGCTATCTTCATCGTCTCTAACCTCCTCTCTTTTTTTATATTTTTTCACTCCAGGAGCATAACAATAGTTTGCTTCACAAGGAGGCCTTGAGATTGCAGCTAGCGTCGAAAGACCGGGGAATTACGCTCTTGGAGAGGCCTATATACATCAAAGGTTCGTCTTTGCGTTTTTAGTTTCGCGTTTGTGTGCGTCTTCGTTTACTCAAGCCACTAACTCGGGGTTTTTTGTTTAGCTCTTCTCTCCAAGAGCGCAGAGTCGATCATAGAGACTGTCATTAGAAGGGATCCTCACGAGAGTGAATACATCCAGGCTGTGCAAGAGATTGTTCACTCGCTCGAGCCGGTTCTCTCCAAGAACATCCAGTAAGTAGTATCTGCCTTTCTTTTTTCTTTTTTTTTTCTTTTGTATATTGATTTACTGTTGCATCCTGTCGCTAGAATAGATTGATTAGGAATGCGGCTCTGATGACATATGACTTTGCCATCCAAGGTACCTCCACGTATTGGAAAGCCTCTTGGAACCAGAACGAGTGATTATTTTCAGAGTTCCATGGGTCGATGACAAGGGAGAGAAGCATGTAAACCGGGGGTTCCGTGTACAGTTCAATCAGGCTCTCGGACCTTATAAGGGTGGTCTTCGTTTCCATCCGTCTGTTAACTTGAGCGTTCTCAAGTTTCTAGGCCTCGAGCAAGTATATTACAGTCGAGGCTAGTTCCACGTTTCTAACGGCTGGACGTTTTTGTAGACTTTAAAGAATGCGCTCTCAACATTCAGTTTCGGTGGTGCTGAGGGTGGCAGTGACTTTGATCCGAAGGGAAAGTCAGACACCGAGGTTCTTACAATTTTTTTTGCTAAGGACGCATCATTTATATTTACTTCCAGGTGATGAGATTTTGCCAGAGCTTTATGGATGAGCTTTTTCATCACATCGGTCCTAATCAGGTGTGTCAGTGTGTCTCATTTTACGGATCATTTACTTATTTGTCTTTTGTAGGATACGCTAACTGGAGATATTGGCGTTGGATTCCGGGAGCTTGGTTATCTCTACGGACAATATCGGCGACTGACTGGAGAATTTGAGGTAGTTCAAAGCCGTGAAAGTTATCAATTATTGTAATTCTTTTGTACAGTGTGCTTTAGTTGGAGGCCGGAACTTGCTTGCAAACTCCAATTTACATGCAGAAGCTGCTGGTCATGGCCTGGTGACTTGGACTTGATGAGATCGTAAATTTTTATTATGATCTTACGTGTTTTCCAGGTGTATTATGCCAAACATGTTCTGGCGGACTTGAACAGGGATATCAAGGGCTTAAGGTTGTTTCTGATTCTACAAAAATATGTCACTCGTGTTTTTTAATTTGCTCGTTACAGGTGCCTTATCAGTGGGTCGGGTAAGCTTGCGATGCACGTCATGGAGAAGCTTATAGCTGTAGGAGCGGTCCCCGTTTCCTTATCTGGTAAGCGTGAATATAGTCCGGGCCAGAAAGACCAGTCTACTCTTGTCAGATTCCAAAGGTTTTTTACTTGACGACGAAGGATTCGATGGGTCCAAAGCCATGTTTCTAAAGGACATGAAGTCGCAGCAAAAGCCTCTGAGGTTCTTTTATCTCGAACGACTTGCAGTCTGTAACACTCGTTTACAGGGAGTATACAAGGAGATACGTAAGAGCGAAATATTTTGACGATGCCAGGCCTTGGGGCGAGAAATGTGATCTCGCATTCCCTTGTGCTACACAGAACGAGCTTAACCATTCTGATGCACTGGCAATTATCTCTTCAGGATGTCATGTAATTGTGGAAGGTTAAGTATCATTTCGTTTCTACTTTTATAAACAACGGCTCTTGCAGGTTCTGATATGTCTTGCACGGCGGAAGCTATCGACGTGCTTAGGAAGTCGAAGATAATCGTGGCTCCTAGCAAAGCTGCAAATGCTGGAGGAGTAAGTCCGATAGTCGCTCACGATGCTCTTAGCTTTGAGTTGCATACAGGTAGCGGTTTCGGGGCTGGAGATGGCTAGCAAAAGCAACCAAATGCATTGGACTGGCGAAGAAGTTGATACCAAGTTACAGGTACTATCATTTTTATTTCCAGTTTATTAACGTTTCAATTTAGGAGCTCATGAGGGACATCTATCAAAAGTCCGTGGCAGCAGCTGCAGCGTGTGGCCACTCTAAAGATGGGCCAGAGTGAGTTGTTTTCTCTTTTTGTTTTGTCTGGCTACTCACCAGTGATTCGCAGAGCTCTAGTCCACGGTGCCAACGTAGCTGGATTCTTGCGTGTCGCGCAGGCGATGCTTGAGCAAGGATGCGTGTAAAGTGCGTTCTGCTCTGTCAATTCGGGAGAGTATCTTACATCATCGTTTTATTCCACTCGTCGAGCAGCACGCGGTGCTAGCTATCAAGGGACGACCAAAAGGAGGACATTTACAGGTGAGACCCTGGGTCAGACGAGCTCAATGGAGTCATTTCGCTTTCGGCAAAGCCTCGCAGCTTAGACCACCTGTACTGCTCTGGCCAGTATCTGCGTCAAA